AATGTCAGAGACTTTCTTACATCCTTAACCTAGACTTGGTGTCTAAAAAAAAAAGGGGGGGGGGACAAGAAAACTTCCTTCAAACCGCCACATCCAAAAAAGCAAATTAAGATAAATTTCCTTGCTTGACATGGCTGTTGTCCATTTCCTGTCAGAACATATTCCGTAATATTGACAACTATTGCCATGTTAGTTTGAGCGTGAGGAGATGATTGAAACATTACCGCACCTATGTCAAAGCTGCTGAAAAGCACTTCTCCGCGGCAACACTTCATGCAACAAGTGCATTGCGTCCAGGCGGTTTGTGTCATTCCAAATGTCTGGAACTCAGCCTTGCCAAGGGTAGCTGGGCCGTGCGGTCATGGAGACAATGCGTACGCTTGGGCATCCTAAAGGGATCGGAGCCTGTTAAGTGTCACGCTCACCCCCCATAAAAAGCTGGGAGATATACCATTTGAGAGCCGGATCTGTAGGATAGTGTGAAAATGTATATGCAGATGATAGTTAAACAAGCATTTTCTGTGTTGCTGGAAAGATAAACATTTATTTATGACAGTTACTGGCTGTCTTTCCAACAAGTTGCGCAAAACATTTTGAGGTTTAAGAATTCCAAAATGCTTCCATGAGGTATGCCAGTCTTGAGACCACAAGGAAACAGCTTACTCATGCTGCTTTGCTTGCTACCCCAACATCAATGTTTTTATTAGGTCTGCCTTATATTTTTTTTGTGGGCAATTTCTTTTTTTGGGGGGGGAGTGGGATAGATTTTTCAAAAGTCTGCAAAGGTCAGAAGACCCCTAAAAACTTGCCTTTTCCACCTGTTTCACGTCTGTTTGTTGCGCTCCAATACTTTGGAGCATCCCTGGGGTCTTTCTGCTTGAAACATGATCCAACGAATCAGGAACCATCAAAATAAGGTAACTGTATCACTCTCCCTACCATAATGCCCCATTGGAATAAAGCAATGCTTCTTGACCTTACTGTGAACAAATTGTAGAATATTCTCACCTCAGTTTGCTTGTCCCCAGATTATTGTTGAAAAAAGGAAGGGGACAGATGGGGGCCAATTCTTGCAAATAGCATCCCTCTTTTTGACTCAAATATTAGAAAGCATGGCATTTTAGCTCAAGGATCTGGAAGCCGTGATGATATATCCAACAGTGCGATTTGCTTGGTGTGATCTATCTATAAATTCATTATAATCAATTGATCTGACCTGAATTGATCTGATTAATGAATCTGGAGTAATGGATCTTGGATAATTTCCCTATTATAATTTTTGATAAATTTATTTAGATGTGATTGAAAGAAATTACTTTTCTTGCCTCACATGAAATAAGTATTCTGTTTGAACAGAATAATGTGAGTACAGAATAATGTTTTTTTGGGTTATTCCTCACCTTTGATTTATTTGCAGTTTCTTGGACAAACTATTTCTCTTTGCACTGCAGTAGTTGGCCTTCAGTGAAATAGATGTTTTGTGACCCACAAGAGTAGCCATTTTGTAAACTATTTTATGATGGTGCCCGACTCTTTCACACAATTCCAGATGTGCTTGTGGTCTCAAAAAGGCTAGAAAATAACAAAACCTTCTCCAACCTAATATCCTACAGATGTGTTGGATCGCAACTGCCTATCATCATGGTCATGCTGGAGCTACAATCCAGCACATGAGTCCCAGAGTGCGGAAAACTGAGATAAAGTCTGTAATTTGCAAACACGAATATGCTCCTGAAAATCACTGGGAAAAACGACTCGGAACCCAAGGGTGATTTGGGAGTACCCAATGCTCCAACTGATGCTGAAGCTAAGTAGATGTGGACATGCTTTGTGACTGGATGAGGTAATGCTTCCCACCCCGCATAAGCCACTCAAAACTTTCCTTGCATGAATATGTATAAATAACTGTTAAATTGGAAAATCCCAGTTCTGTAGCTAGTCCTATTTTCAGAGTTATATCCCAGGTTACCACAGCAAAAACACTTCTTCCCATCTCAGATGCCTTAGAGTGCTCTATAAGAGCCCTTGCTGTTAATAAAAGGCAGACTTCATTTTCATTTTTTTGAAGGAAAAACATTTTTTCAGGCCTTCCAGTCATCAAGCTACACTGAACTTTATCTTTGTGTGATAGAAACGATTAAGCACTTTGATCACCCTGTCAGTACATACTTTCTGGATGGTCCATTATAAAACATAAAAGGGAAGAAATCTCTTTTAGGACAGATGATTGTCAGGAACCTCTAAGGAGCTAATCTGGAAAATCTAAGCAAATTATCCATGATTTTGGAGGAAAGAAAAACTGTTCTGTGTTTGAAAGAACAGCAATAGTCTTGCACGTCAAAACATTAAATGATATGCATGTTTCTAAATTAAACAGAGCCAAAAATGGTTGTGGGTGACTGCCTCATCCTATGAACTACATACCCTACACTTATCCCAAAAAACAAAGAAGTGCTCTTCTACTGCCTCCATGAGGAAAATCAGATGCATTGTCATGGCTGGACTGTAAGTTTCCCAGGCAAGTTAACATGGGCCTGCCTTTTAACATGGTCCAGCAAATTAGTCACTCAAAAGGTTTTACTAAAGAAAAAAGATTCCGTATTAGTAGGTTATCCACTTCCACTTCAATACTGTGGGTAAAGAAAAGTAACATGCATATTATATTACTGATTCACCAGATCTCAAATTTCTTGATTTCAAACCCAGCTTCTCAATTTCTTTTATTTTATTTTTCTACTATGCTCCCTCCCCAAATATCTGTTGTTTGGGGAGGCACAGTAGAAACCAGAATCATCCGTTTACATAGTTCAGCACAACGGCATCCTTGCTGAGATGGTCTTAGATTGGTGCTCAAATTCCAGAGGGGATTGTACCTACAAAACGTAGGCAATGGTCATTTCAAATGTTACAGCAAATGAAGAATGTGAACAAAGAAATCACAGCACTGGGGGCCAGTGCAGTGTAAGTATGTGTGCATGCATGTATACAATTTATATACTGTCCAACAGCTGAAGCTTTCTATAGATACTAGAATGCTGGACAAGCACTGGGGAGATCCAGGTTCAAAGCCCCACTCAGCCATGAAGCTCACTGGGTAATCCTGGGTCAGTCACACACTCTCAGTTTAAACTTGAGATCTGTGGGAAACAGGTGGGATATTAGCTAACTAAACATACAGATTGTAAGTAAGTAAGTAAGTAAATAAATAAATAAATAAATATTTACACAGTCATCCCATAACAAGACTTTTCTGGGAAACTCATAAGACAAATATACCATTAAAAAATCAACCAAAAATTCAAACTACTATTTATATGTATTTATTACTCAAGTATATTTACCACCTTTTGCAAAAAGGCAGTGGCATCAGAACAATATAATACAACAATAAGATACACAATACAAAATTAATCAACAATAAAACTGCACACATGCTACAAACCATATACCATGGAAAGCCTGGCTGAAGAGATAGTTTTAAGAAGATATCTTAATACATACTAAAAACTGAAGCACAATAAAAGCACATTATTGAGGTACCCAGACTGATTATTTGACAAGCCTGATGCACCAGGCAAGCAACTTTATGCAAGAAAGATGAGGAAGATGGTCCCAGGCTGACCTCTCTGGGGAAGCTATTTCATAACTGAAATTCTTCTATTGAAAAGGCAACTACCCAGTTGTTACCCACCTCACTTCATTTAGCAAGGACTCTCAGAAAAGGGTTTCTGAAGATCTTAAAGTTGGGGGAGAAAGAAACAAGGGGGAAAATAAAAGCTACAAGCTCTTTAAGCACTTACTGCATTAATGAAACATTTACTCTCAATGCTATAGGGTATTCATTATCTGACTAATGATAAGTAAGGGGTTAAATCTAATCCACACATATGCAGAAATTTGTATCGCAGTAAAACCAAGATCATTCATTATTTGTAAGTCTTCATTTCTCTCCACTGCCTTAAGACAAGTATGTTTAGGATTAACATTTTGTTCACCATGGGGTCTTTAACAAAGAGGAAGTGCAGACAATCTGCTTTAATGTTTTTGTTGCAGGAGAGTAAAAGACGGGGAGGGGGAAAGAGGAAACAAAGTGCATATGAATGCCTTCCTACCACACACAGCACTGTGGTTAGAACTTGTCAGCATCCCCTACAGACACAGAATTGATTCATGCTGAAAGTAGATACCCAAAGAGGCAGAACCTACCAAAATATGATGCTTGTCAGAAGAAACGAAAAGCTCAATCTATGCACTTAAACATTTGAGCAGGCAACAGCTAGGCAATGTATGTTTTACGTGGCATGGAAAATAACCTGCAACTGGGACATACAGCTGTCCCTACAACGCAAGCAGCTGCTGATATCCACAAGCATTGGCTTTCTGTGCCTTCCAAATGATTTACAACCTCTCCTGGAGGGTCTTATAATGGAAATATGGCAGCAACATGGTCAGGGCCAAAAATGAGGGTCTGAGTCTCACTTGACATCACAGTAGGAGAGCACGTGATCTCTTGGGCTGGCTTTGTAGCCAGCTACAGCTAAAACTCCTGCAGCAGCAGCACCCAGCTTCAATGGGCTGGACAGACTTGGCTGAAAATGTTAAAGCAACTTCCTCTAGCAATGGAGGGTGTGACTTTTAGTGCTCATTCTTTATAAAGGTCGAAAACATCCATACCCTATTACTGCATACTTAAGAAGAGAAAAGTGAGAATAGAAGTAGAAAAGTCAAGCAAACAACAGTCTGCCTCTTCATGACACACATCCCATACATCCATGCTGTAGAACCACTGGCAGGCCTTCTCTCAGTCTTGTTAAAACCTACGGTAAAATTCCTTCCTGCCAGCACTGCTCAAATTCCGCTCTGCTTCCTTCTTTCCCTACTGCTCTCATGATCCCAGCTTCCTTCCCACAGAAGGCAAGCCAACACTACATGCAGGAAGATCCAAGGCTTGAATGCCATGTGGACACAGACACAGACGTCACTGGTACACTAAGACTCACTTGCTACTCCTGACGCAAGCCCATAAAGCAGTCCTCCTCCATCCGACTCTGGCTGAAAGATGTGGGTGCCTGGTGGAGGGCTTCTCTCTTGCCTGATGAAGTTATACAGCAAAGTTTTCACAAGTCTGCTGGTCAATGGGAGACTGAAAATGCAAAAGAGCCAAGTATTTAGACTGATTCATGGTGGCCTGGGAATAATACTTTAAATATATAAATCCCAATCTTTAAAGATTTTTTTTAAATTGTTGACAGGATACTAAGAGATATATGGAAAAGTTAACATTAACACTGCACTAATTTAAGTAATTAATACCCAGAGCCAATCACCTGTGCTTGCAAACGAATCTTAAGTCTCTAGCTGCCCTGTGAGACATACATGTGATCATGCTTCACCTGCTTGTCATTGCAAACCCATTTTACTCTCTTCTGAGCAACATTATACATGTTCTCTTCTTAAAAGCTTTGAGGAAACAGAAGAAGTGTGAATCAGATACAGTGGTACCTTGACTCACGAACTTAATCCGTTCCAGGACTCTGGTCGTGACCCAAACTGGCCGTGAGCCAAGTCAAATTTCCCCATAAGGTTCAATGTAAATAAGGTTAATCTGTTCTGTAACTATTTTGTTTTTTAATCACAAAAATTTGAAGCAGGAGCGCTCGGGGGTCGGGGGGGGAGGCTGGTGCGCTGGGGGAAGGTGGGCGCGATCGTGGACATGCTCGGTGGAGGCGGGCGTGATCGTGGGTGTGCTGGGGGGAGGCAGGTGTGCTGGGGGGAAGGCGGGTGTGATCACGGGCACACTTGGGGGTGGAGATGGGGGTGATTGCGATTGTCACCTGATGCAAATTTCATGAACCAAGGCAAACATTTTCAGAAATTTCTGTTTGCAACCCAATTTGGTCGTGAGCTGAGGCGTTCATGAGCCAAGGTACCACTGTATTCCATGCTTCCTCATATCAGCATTGGTTCAACATAGTGTTTAATTTAAACAAGCCTTCCTTAGGATGGAGAACGAAAACGTCATCTCAGTCTTCTTCACTCTTTATGGCTTGTAACACATGTGTAAGCTCACGCCGTAACATATGAACGGCCTCTAGGACCAGCAGATGGCCTTGATATGGGAAGGATAAAATGCTTCTTCCCTGGCGATACACTTAGTGGAGAGAAAGGAAATGTTTAGCCACTAATGCTAGCAATCAAGTTGCTTGCACCAGGCTGGCAACTTTCAACAGGGAATGGTGGCCCACTAGCCATTTTGGTGCTTACTGCCTTAAAAGGATATTGAGAGAATAAGGCTGCAATCCGACACATGCTTACCTCCGAGTAAGCCCTTCTGGAAGCAGTACTTGTGAGTATACATGCACAGGATTGTGCTATAAGTGAAATAATAATTGTATTATAATGTACTTGTGCACTCAAAGGGTGTGCAGCATTTTTAATGCTGTTTTAGACTGGTTGTCCCTAACAAATTCACCAGGATTCCACGTATAAATTATAAAATAGAAAATGATATAGTCCCAAAGATACACATAAAATAATTTACATTTAATAGCAGCATTTATTTCTACTGCCTCAGCTTGCTTATGTTTAGATGAACTGAATATTTTTTAATCCCCCAGAGTTCAGTGTTAAAAAATTCAGAATTTTTTAATCCCCAAGAATTTAATCCCCCCAGATTCTGCAATACACAGAATCACAGATAAACTTATAGTTAAGGAAAGCACTTGCAATATTCAGAGGGCAAATACGAGCATTAAGAAAGTACAATAATGGCAACAATTCTATCAAAAGTGACACTGTGGTTTGACATACCATCGGCCATGCATGAGGTATTTATGAACAATGCTTTCCCGGAGAATTTCCTTGTGAAAAAGTTGACAGGAAAGGAAAACAACAAGTGTTGTCACTGCTTCCAAGGAAATGCTGTATGTTATGTCTCTAAAAGGAAAAAGAATAGAAACTTATCAATAAAAACTAATGTATATGTACGTATTAGCTAAAACTTTATCTTATAAGCTATGGTCAGCAGGTCACTTCCCTCTTTCCTTCTCCAGCAGAATGAAACAAAACCTTAGAAGCACATTCTTTTATTAGAGGTTAACTGGTCATGGGACATTACAAATCAATGTGAAATCAAAGTGTTGTTCTCCCAAAATATAGGAGAAGCATCTTCCCATCTGAAGAGTTAAATCCAAAATGCAACTTATTTATCATACCTTGCCTTTTTCCTTTCAAGGAACTCACAGAATCATAGAATAATACAGTTGGAAGGGGCCAAAGACGATCCCTGGGTCCAACCCCTGCTCAGTACCCCCAGTTAAACCATCCCACTCAGATGGCTGTCCACTTGCACGCCTCTAGAGTTGAAAAGCCCATAAATTCCTTAGGGTTCTGGCTTCATTGTTGTACTGCTCCAACAATTTATTTATTTATTTTTCAACTGATATCCTGCCTTTTTCCTACAAAGGGCTCAAGGCAGCTTACATCATTCTCCTCCTCCATCTTCTCCCCACAACAACAACCCTGTGAGGCAGGTTGGGCTGAGAGTCTGTGACTGGCCCAGAGTCACCCAGTTGGCTCCATGGCTGAGCGGGGAGTAGAACCCAGATCGTCTGAGTCCCAGTCCCAGTCCCATGCTCTTCACCACTACACCACACTGGCTCTCACACCACACTGGCTCTCAACGAGGAATTTCGTCCTGATGTTCAGTCAGAACCTGGCTTCCTGTAGTTCCAGCCTGTTATTCCATGTTTGCAGTCTGACATGATTGAGAAGAGATCCTGTCCTTTCTCTCTGTGACAGCCTTTCAAGTACTTGTAGAGTACTATCATCCCTCGGTCTTCTCAAGGCTAAACATGCCCAGTTCTTTCAATCTTTTCTCACAGGGCTTTGTTTCCAGTCCCTGGATCAGCCTTGTTGCCCTCCTGAATCCTTTCCAGCTTGCCTGCAACTTTCTTCAACTGTGATGTCCTCCAGAAGAGGCCTGCTGAGTAGAGAACTAGTACTTCATATGATTTGGAAGGGATGCTTCTATTAATGCAGCCTAAAATAGAATTTGTCCTTTTTCCAGCCACATCACATTGCTGACTCATATTCAGCCTGTGATCTACAAAAATTCCAAGATTCTTCTCCCTTGCAGTACTGTTAAGCCAAGTAGCGTCCATCTTGTAATGATGGATTTGGTCTCTTTCTCCTATGTGTATGCCTTGGCATTTGTGCCTATTGAGTTTCATTCTGTTGTTTGCAGCCCAGCGCTCCAACCCTTCAAGAACACCTTGAATTTTATTTCTGTCTTCCGGGGTATCAGCCATACTACCCCCCTCCCCAGTTTTGCGTCATCTGCATTCCCTGAAGTTCCTCATCCAGACCATCAATAAAAATATTGAGGAGCACTGGGCCCAGGACTGAACTCTGCAGTACCCCACTTGTTACCGCTCCCCATCAATGAGCACTTTTTGAATCCAATTCTGTAGCCAACTGTGGATCCACATGATTATTGTTCCATCTAGCCCACATTTAGCTAATCAGGATATCATAGAGCACTTTGTCAAGAAGTTTGCTGATGTCAAGATATATTATATCCACAGCATTCCCAAAGTTCACCAGGGAGGTTACCGAATCAAAAAATGAAATCAGATTAGTCTTGCAGGATTTGTTCTTGAGGAATCCCTTGTTGACTTCTAGTAATCACTGCATTGTTCTCAATCTGTTTGCAGAACAATGCAATGATTACTAGAATTATTATAATCTGCTCCAGAATTTTCCCAGGGATTGATGTCAAACCAACTGATTTGTAGTTCCTAGGTTCTTTTTTTCCCTTTGTTAAAGTGGAGATAACATTAGCCCTTCTTCAGTTACCTGACACTTCCCCTGCTGAAGGGATTTGGTTGCTTTTAGTAGCCCTCACTAATTTCTGGCACAACCCTTGTAATTCCACGCTACCTGCTTGCACACTTCCTTTGTGCAAGGCCTTCCTTCCACTTCCTACGCACATTTTTTTTGTTTGCAGATCTTGTCTAAGCTTTTTGTGAAACCACATGGGCTTCTTCTGTTGTCTTCTACCCCTTTTCTTTGTTGGAATTGTTTACAATTGTGCCTTTAGAATTTCAAAAATTCCCATCCATCTTGGACTCCTTTTCTTATTAGGGTCATTTGCCATAGGACTTCACTTATCATTGTTCTAAGTTTATTAAAATCAGCTCTCCTAAAATCTAGGATACATGTTTGGTGACACTTGGCTTTGGCTTCCTTTAGAATCGAGCATTCAAGTATGGCAGGGTAACTTTCCCCAGCATTCCCATAAGTTCCACTTTGTCCATTAGGTCTTCCCAGTTGGTAAAAATCAAGTCAAGGACAGCCACTCTTCTACTTCCTTTGGTCACATTTGACAGCTCACTGGAACCAAGTGGAACCAAAGGGGAAAATAAAGTTACCTACGACCTCTGTGGAATAAAGCCTGAGAGAAGAAATGCTGAGGTTCCCCATTTCCACAGCTACTTATTGTCCCAGGTGCACAAGCACGGGTCAGAATCACAATGATAACAATCATAGTTTTTGCAAATATTTGCAAAAATTAGGAGGGGGTCAAAAATTAAAATTGTTTGGCAATCACAGGTAGCCCCTCCATAGTGTGACAAGGGCCCTCTGGAGGGATTGTCCATAATTGTTAAATGGGGGTGCAGACGCAGCCTTGAAATCCAGATTTCCCATTCCCACCCCCAAATAGAAGAAATATAAAGGGGGGAAAGCCAGAATGGCTTGCAAGACCATTACAAAAGGGAAGCCAACTCAGTCCCTCTTGTGGTATCCCCAAGCTATTTGTAGGTAGGCTGAGGGGAAGGGAGGGGCCAACAACCCATAGTGAGCCTGAGCATGTGTTGGGTGCACCATGAGTTGTCCACGTAACACTCAACCCATGATAGCTTATTGCCACAATGAGTTGACCTAAAATGTGACTTTAATCAATAGCTACATGCTGACCTAGCTTGTCAAAGGTGGACTCAAGAGGCAAGAGGCTAGAAGGGAGGGGGAAACAGAAAGGCAGAGGAATAAAGAAAGAGGAAGGCTATAGGTTAGGAAGGAGAAAACAATGAATTGGAGAGGTGTGTGAAAGGGAAACAGTGAGGCAGGAAGCTGGGAGGGAGGAGGAAAGGATTACATTCAATATTATGAAATGACTTTCTCACCTTGTGTTTCTCACTTTTTGAAATCCAAAACTAATTGATTCTCACAGTCATTATACAGAAATGGTATCTGACTAAAAAAGCAGTAGTTCTCAATGCTGGGTCCCCAGATGTTGCTGAGGTGCAAGTCCCATCACCACCAAAAAAGCATGGCTAATACTCAGTAACACAGCAGTTGAAAACACCAGCTTGAGAACCACTGACTTGTAGATTCGTGCATGCCAGTTTTCTGAGCAATGGCCACTCCTTAGTCTTCAGCTTAGTCAACTTACTGCAGTGCAAACATCAAGATTTAAACATTCACAATTTAGGAATTGACGGAACAGACTGATTCACACTGCAGGTTTCAGACGACACAGGAACAGGTTTGACTGCCATACTTGCTGAGGGCCCACCAGAAAGGTGAAAGGAAGCCATCAAAGACTCACTTTAGAACACTGAAAAGTAATGCTAAATATCTGGTTATCAGTCTCAGGATACAAATACAAAAGAACATGATCTTCCCTCTTGGCACAGCTCCCAAAATTAGCATCCTGTAATGGCAAAAAATCATGCAATGCACTAGTTATGGCTGTCAAGAAAAGTTTGGGGAAATTCCCATTTACTTTAATATAGTAATTGAAACCAAAAGTCCAAAAGCAACCTCTTCTGCCAACCTTTTCTTAATGGAAAGAACAGGAAATATTCCCAGTTAATTCTCCCACCTCCACAGAAAGGAAGGGTGTATATTCAGAAGCTACAAAGGGGAATTAAGATGTCTTGTTTATGAGTAACTCTGTAGCTTTTGGACAAACTTCAGACACTCAATATTTTGATTTCCCATCTCTACCAACTTCTATACTCATCTATAAAAAAATAAAAATTTATCCGTAAGTGATCTGAAACCAAATTCAACAGTCCTAAATGAAGAGTTCCTCCTAGCAGGTCTAGACAAAACTAAGTGTTTTCAGTTGCAAAACCTGCCCGGATCAGTCATTCTATAAAGCAAACAGAATAAAACTCCACACTTTTTCAGCCATGTGGCTTGTATAGTCATACAAACAGTTTGTATTCAAATGTACTGGCAAACTAAGGTTTCCCACTGTAATCACAGGAAGCGGTGAGCTTGTGTACTCCATTCTCTACTTTGTCTTCATGCAAGGTGAAGAAATTAGGAAGTTATTATCCAGTTAATGAAAAACAATAGCTTGGTGTTTAATCCCAATGTATCAATCACAGTTTGTCATATTCAAATGAAACAAAACTATGGGATGCCACTGTCCAGATCATGTCTAATTTCAGAACATGAGAGCAGCCACGCTGGATCAAACCAGAGGTCTGTCTAGTATGACACACAGTTCCCAGAAGTAGCCACTCCATGGGAATCCTACTGCCTCCAGCCTCTCACCAGAGGTGAAAAGGATGCTCCACAGGGCACGGATGCTCAAGGTTACGGATGCCTGTAATGTCAAAACATGGATTTTGAATGAAGCAAGCACAGAAGGATTACCTTTCCATATTCTAAAACAGATATATTTTACTGGCAGAACTTGCAGTTTTAGGTTTCATTTCAAGTTTTCAAGCTTGACAGATCGCCTTTTTAAAAAGTTAACTTGTGCGAGTGCTGAGGGGAATAAATCTATTGATACCCCTTAATTAGGCACAGGGGCAGTTTGTGCATTTTGAGAACCTAAAGTGCTGATGTTTTCTTAAGCACTTTAAGCATTTCGAAGCTAGATTCCAGCTAGATATCTAGAAGAACTCACTGTTAGAGCAGTATAACACTGGAACCAATGACCTAGGGAGGCTGTGCTCTCCAGCATTAGAAGAGTTCAAGATGCAATTGGACAGTTTTCTGGGAGTAAAGGCTTAACTTGGAGTCCTGCACAGAGCAGGGGCTGGACCTTTCCAATTCTATTATTCTATGATTTCACCTTTCCAATAGCTGTAACCACCCCAAGGGCTTTAAAGTGCTGATCAGCATGTTTGGTTTTTTTTAAAATCAGCATCCATAATCCTGCTGGGCTGAAGAATGAGATTTAAACCCACCCATATAGAGGCCCAGACAGAAAGAGCTTTTAACTAAGACAAATAAAAGCTTTTATGGTACCTGACAAGTTAATGTCTTTCATGAATGTTTTAAATTGCAGAAGACTGTCACATTTAAAAAGTTCATTTGAATACAAAATGTCGGAAACATGGATCTATTGGCCAAAAACATGTTTTTCTTTCAAAATATTGTATTGAAATATTTGTGGCTCAAATTTAACATACTGAAGTAAAATCTAGAATGTGCCTATTCCACATCTAGAAGCTTTAGTTTGTTGTACACCCCTCATCCTAAATTCTCATCTTGCTATCTTATCCAACATGGATTGTCTCCATTGCAAACCACCTTCAGTTAAAATCTTCGTTCTAAGATATAGCATCATTTTTGTCTAAGATTAATAGCATTTTCCTCTAAAGGCACCTCTGTGGAAAAGCAGGGTACAACCCAACAGAAAAGCTTGGATCCCATTATCTTAACTCTATCTAGCTCTAAGTTCAGCTTAACATCTTGGTTGAAAGTCTATTCCATCCTTCATTTGAACATATCTTAACAGAAATCTTATCTTTGAAAAGTTGCCCCACACCCTGTCACTGACATATCATAGATCGCTTTTGAAACTCCTTTCAAACATGTCCTGAGATCAACATTTTTAGGGGATGAAATCACTAAAAAATATACCTCTGAAGCCCTGTGGGCTCACAGAGTTAGTCCTGGAACTCTGGATCCTGGCGACTGATTTTTATAGGGGTTGACTGTGGTCGCAGGCTGTTTTCAAATAGAGTGACTAGCTATTAATTGTCTCCATACAGCCTCATGCTGGCTTCCAACAAAAAGAATGATTTATGAACATGCCTATATTACTCAGTCCTTCCACCTCTCAGCATTTCCTCTAATCTGCCCCAGACAGAAGTATCACTGTTGCAGGAAGTACCAACAATGACTCTTCGCATAATCAGAATGACTTCTCTAAATCATGCCACAAACCCATTAGACAGCAACTGCCCCCAAATTAGTGTAATGACGATAGTAGCATGTTTCATGAAAGCAAGGCTTCCAAAGAAAACAGCTATGCCTTTATCAGGGTGGCCGTCCAACATCCAAATGAAAAAGATATCTGCACTGTAAAATAGAAAAAGACTCCAAAGAAAAAACTACGAACTTCAGCAGCCTATCTGAGAAAAACAGAAAACAAATTCTACTGATATTATTCAGACCTAGCCAATACAAATATTTTATACAAAGGTAACAAAATACATTAGTAATTAAGATTGCTTCATTAAAGATTCCCCCAACCTTGCCAAATAAAAAACACAAAAAAAAAACAAAACAAAACAACCCCCCTCCCGAAACTATCAATCAGATTTGGATACCTGTGTAACTGTGCTGGTTTTTCCAAAACAATAAATGAATTTTAAAACCTGAAGTGAAGTTTGCCTCCACCAAACAGAAAAGCAACTCCGTCATGTTACCTGTTCAAATTACTGTAAGGTCTTCTTGCTGCTCTGTTTCAAGGAGTACCTGACACCACCAGGTTGTTATCAGGTTGGGTATATAACACTCTTTTCATTTTTCTTTGTTTCCTTCTTTTGAATACCTCTTATTTATCTCACTTGTATGCTACACCCATAGTCATGAGATTGTCTGGGTGGTTTATATTCAACAACAACAAATAAAACAAACCATATGAACAATACATTAAATCAATAAAACAGTACAATAAAAACAATAAAATCAACATTCACTTAATAAAACCATATGAACAATCAAATTAAAACAATCATTTAAATAAAATTGTCTGGTGGCTAAAATTCTGGCATGGCAGTAGCAGCAATAAAAACCAATAGATTAAACCATTCTGAAACCAACCCACACACTCACCAAAATATTTGCAAAAATTAAATGTTTTCCATTGGTGTCTGGACAAAGAAAAGAAAAAGCATCTGGCAGATCTCAACAGAGGCATGTTCCATGACAGGGGGCACTACTGCATCACTGGCCCCTGTGCAGGACCGGCGTAATGTGTCTGCAAGAGCCAGTCTTCATTGGCAGGAGCACCACCGTATTCTGGACCAGTTGCAGAGTCCAGACTGATTTCAAAGGTAGCCCTGCTAGAATGCATTACGGTAATCCAGGCGCGAGGTTACCAGGGCACGGATGGCCACAGCAAGGCTCTTGCACCAGCTAGTGTATTGACCACCTACTCCAATAGTCAAAGGACTTCAAACATTACGTGGCCCAACGGAAGTTTCAGGTGCTCTGCGCCCTTTTGCTTGGCTATTAGACCCCGGGCATAATGTTTGGTAAATTTTCTATAGCCATGGAATTCTGGGACAATGAGAACTTTTCAGAAGGCAGTTGGTGCAGATGCTTGTATAATATAAAGTCGACTTACAAAAGGGGAATCTCAACAATTAGTTGAATGAGGCAGCACAGTAACTCTTCCATAAGGTCTTCACATTCTGTTCCTAAAAAGAGCAAAAACAAAGACTGATGCTGGAAGTTTTAGTATTAGCAATGGTACTTTTCGTTACAGAAAAACCCACAATTCTTATCGGGTTGCACCACAGAAATTCAAACTCATCAAATTCTGTTTTTTTTTTTTTTTAAATCTGCCCAAAACACAACATGATGCTGAAATTTAACACGATGGTATATGGGAATTGGATTCTCTCAAAATTTTAGAGCCTACAGATTTTCAACATTACCCCCATGATTCACATGTAAGCATATCAAAAAAGCAAAGATTGTTTGAAAATGAGGATCCTGTCATGCACAGACATTAAGTATCAAAGAATAGAAGGAATTGGTAAACAGATAGATAAGTAAGAGGGGGTGAAGGAACAAAATGAAGAGACTAAGAGCACACAAAGTCCTCTGCAGTGGTTTTTGGGTTGCTTATGGGATAGATAACTATTACTCCAATTCTACAAAACAGTGAAAGCTGACTTGCCCAAAACAAAACTTGTCCACAGCAGAATCTGGACTTGCTCCCAGATTCTAAAGCTCCAAGACCAACACTCTCAGCCACTGGTTCTTCAAATCAAATCTTAATAAATATCTGCAATTATAATTCCAAAACCAGAACAACAACTAACAGTAGGTTATATGGATATTAAGCTTTCTATATGTATTAATTGCATGTCCCATCAGTCAAAGGGGTTGAAAATCATGGTTCTACAGGAAAGAGAAGGCTACATAAGAGGATCTCTCAGCTGTGTTACCCTTTACAGCAGAGAAATCAACCACCCAGGTCAGCATCACCAAATGCCCCCCCCCCCGAAAAAAATCCTCTTACGTAACACTTGAGAAAAAGCAAAAATAAGGCAAATAGAATGGTGGAGGGGGGGGAGAGAAAGGTAAGCTCAAATTTAATAAAAATTTGCAAGTGATCCTATATTTTAGTCTGGGTTGAAGAAGATTCCAGAGTCTCAGAAGTCTGTAACAACTACCAAGTTAAGTCAAATGAATAGGCACAACTGGCCAGCTGAGACACAATTCTTTCAATTTACTGCTTCCTTCAAAATTACCAACAACACAGAACAGCTGAAAAAATAAGTCGTGGGAAGTATTCTTCTCTCAGATGCAGTCATTAGGCAAAGGCCTTAAATGTCACAGCTTTCATTTGACTGCTTCACAAGATCCAAAGGCAACAGAATTCTCCTCTCCCCCCGCCACCTTTTCCATTATGTTTACTTGGGGACATGCCAATCATTTTCAACCAAGACATCCTTGAGTTTATACATGGTTAAAGAGTGCCATTCAACCCAAGAATTTGTACAAGGAAGCCCTGTCATAAAGGAAATGTTGTGCGCCATCATTATGTGAACCTCACAACAAACCAAATGAGAACATTATCCCAATTATATAGAGGGCTAAACTAAAGTGGGAAACAATCAGCTGGCAGAGGATCACAGTGAAGCAAAGATCACACCAAGGAGGAACTGCAGTTTCCTGGCTTCTGGATCCCCACTCCAAACCAACAGACCACACACAAGCACCTTCTTTTTTTAGAGATAACATGTCTTCCATAAACAAGGCTATTAAATGCCACTTTCTTCAACCACTATACTGTAATGAGATTTGCTGTCTTGATTAAGCAGAGATGAGACTATCTCAAAAGTTTTGCCAGCCAGGGACAAGAGAACATTAATGTTCCTTAATAAATGGGCGTGATTTAGTAGCTCTCCTTTCGGAATGTGACACTAATCAAAATTAGAAGATAAGGCAGAAAGAAACACTGGACGTGAGTTTTAGAGATGGCAGGCAGCAGTAAGTTCAGCTGGACTGGAAGCAGTGCAGGGCTGCAGGGATCCAAGCAGTTGTTCTCTGAAGATTTGAGGCAGGATCTGTGGTTTGCTGCCGCTACAGAAATCTATTGTTTCCAATATATTTTGTCTGTGCATCTGTAAATAAGATAAGTATTACCAAGCACCATGCATCCAGAGAACTATCCCTGGAGTTATTACATCTACAGAACATTCAGCACTGTATGTTAGGCTGCAGTAAGAACCAAAGTGATGTGACCAGGACTGCCAATGAAGTTTTTGTCTGTTTATGTTACACTTATGCCCTGCCATGCACAGAACAGCCTTGCCATGTAAGTCGTTCCATTAGCATGTAGAGTTGGCACACCAGGACAGGCTAATGTTCCCACTGTGCTAGTTCCATGTACAAAAAAGATAAATCACCTAATGATGTAGAAGTAGGGCATGCACAGAACACTTCTACAAGCTTCCCTTAATGAAGAGTTCTGTAGCTGTTAAAAATCTTACCCTTTGTTTCCTGTGACAAATAAAAGAGTATTACCTGCTGCAATAAAACTATCAGGTAACTGACTTTTCTCTTGGGTACAAATCATAATGAATAGATAGAAAAACATGCTAATATTTAGCTGTTCATGATTTCTTTGAAGCAACGGCAGATTCTCAAGGTATAAACAGGGTTTTGGTGATGGATTCCACTTGACATACACCCTAGCCTGGGATTTGGAATTTATCTGGAACATTTCTTTGTTGTTATGTTGTTGACATGCACCATCACGTCATCTCCTCTTTATGGTAACCCTAAGAGTGAATGATTTCCAATAGCTCCTGTCCTTGACAGCCTTGCTTAGCTCTTGTAAATGCAAGGCTGCAACTTCTTTTATAGAATCGCTCGGTCTTGTTATTTGGCCTTCTTGTTCTTCTCCTGCTTTTGACTTTCCTTCCCAGTAGCACCTTCTCCAGTGACTCTTGCCTTCTCGTGATGTGCCCAAACAACAGTAGCTTCAGTTTCATCATTTTTGCTCCCAGGGATAATTCTGCCTTAATTTGATGTAGCACACTGTTGTCCATCTTTCTGTCTTTCTGGGGGATTCAAAAGCTCTCTTCCAGCACCACGTTTTAAATTAATTCATTTTCTTCCTGTCAGTTTTCTTTCCTGTTCAACTTTCACACCCATTCAATGAAATGCACTTACACTTAATGATCTTTTCTAGTTCTTTCATTGCTGCCCTGCCAAGCCTCAGTCTTCCTCTAATTTCCTGGCTGTAGCCTCCCTGTGAATTGATGATTGAGCCAAGGTATGAAAAATTGTTCACTATTTAATTTCTTCATTGTTGACAGTAAAGTTCCATAATTCTTCCGTAGGCATGATTTTTGTTTCCCTAATCTTTAGATATAGTCCTGATTTTGCATTTTCTTTCAGTTTCTTCAGAAGTTCCTTCAATTTGTATGCTGCCTATATCCCCAGAAAAGTACTTAAGAATCACATGGTTTTTAAAAAAAACACACATTCATACAAATAGCAGGAAAGTATCAATGCAGCATCAAACTACAAATAAAATAGATCCCAGCAAAATTTAAAACAATTCTGAAGATTTCCAGCAGCTTTTCAGTCCAATCAAAGCAGAAGACACAAAATCAAACCATACTGAGTCAAACATTGAATAGCTTGGAAGAACAGGACCACCTAAGCCTCATGCTTAAAATAAAAGCATGAAAAGCACGAAGACTTCAGGCATATTTCTCATGGGAAGGGATTCCACAGATGCGGTAAAACTACAGAATAAACCCTTCCCTAGTAGTCACTCATTTGACCTCTGGTGGTAGAGATACCCACAGAAGGACCTCTGATGATGACTTCATTTGTCAAGGATTTTTCTTCGTTCTGGGTCTGTACATTGTATTTTCACTGTATTTATTTATTTATTTATTTATTTATTATTTATTTATTTATTTATTAAAACATTTTTATGCCGCCCCATTCGCCGAAGCCTCGGGGCGGCTTACAAACAATAAATAAAAACAATTATAAAGTAAATCACAACACATATAAACATTAAAAATCCAAAAAATACAATATAAAATATTTAAGCTATATTAAATTAAAACATTAATTTATATTAATTAAAACATTGTTCTTGTATATCATTTGAACTGTATTATACATTGTTGTAAACCTTCCAGACAGCTTCAGCTATTACAGGATAGTATAGAAATAAAATCTACAAGAAGATGTAAACATCTGGGGGAAAAGGCCTAGAAATGATAGGGTAACAGTGCAAATTTAGAGAAAAACCCATTTTCCCTCAAGGGGTATTTGAAAAATTTGGGGGAAAACACTCCACCGGACCAAGTCTTCACTTCTCTGCATAAACCACTTATGCAGGCTTATGGATGCCTATGTGGCTCCCCCGCCATTTCTGTTCCGGACCCTAGCATCCTGCAGAAGTGCTGCGGAGTGGAGTACATGTCTTCAGATTTCCAGTCACTCCAATGCATTCCCCACCCCTAGCTTTTCAGGGGTGGGGAAGCATCATCAGTGCGCATTCCATGCCCACTGAATGCTCCTGATTGGATGTCACTTCTAAGGCTTTTCCTTCCATAAAAAGCCAAGTCAACCCTGAGGTTTGCCCAAGCTTGCTAATGCTTTGCCTACTGTGTATCAGTGACACCGTTTTGACTACAGAAGGATAGGGCCTTTGAAAATCAGTTCTCTTTCTCTTTCCTCTCTTCATCAATCAGAAAACACAGGCAGAGTGAAACACAAAACTGGAAAGCTTAACAACAGACATCATTTTACAGTAATAACATGGCCTTTGTTAGTAACCCTAGTAAATATGAGTGCCATTTGTTCTCTTAGATTGGTTAAATATTTACCGTAAGAACCTGGTGTCCTTTCTTCATAGGTAAAATGAAGCTGCAGCTCTTCTTCTGACATCTGACAGATCAACACCTTCAGCAGGCAGCAAATAATAAACAGTGCATTGTGAGCCTGCCAGATAAAGAGGTGGCTAGAAGGAAAGCAGAAGTTTCAGTGGCTTCAATGGCACATACCGATCAAATATATTGCAAGAACTGCAGTGAGATATGCATTACCAAAAGTCCAGAAGTGCTTTGATAGCCCACATGTATGAGTTAAAACCAAGGTCTTCTTACAGTCAAAATCAATGCACATACAATTAAAAGGAGAAAATGTTACTCTAAATGTATTTTTAATGAAAAGGATATTTGAAGGAGTACAAAACTAATATAATTACAAAGAAAACACTATTTCACTGTAAAGAGCACGAGCTCAGAAATGTGCATAGGCAGCTTCAGACACCCTTCTTGTCTCAGCCCTCTGATGTAATCACTCCAGGCATCCTGGGGATATTTGTACATTGCACAATTTGCTGTTCTAAAGAAGATGAAGAATATCTAGAATGCAACTTCTACACCCTTTAGTCTATCCAAATGGCAAACACTCACTTTTTAGCAATGAAAAGATGCTTCCCTTTGGGGATGGGAGAGAAGAAATAGTCACATTTTTTAATTCTATCCAAAAGTACTGCATTCCATAGATAATGTGCTGGATTTAAAACAAATTGAGGTTTAACAACAAAGCTTCATCAAGCTGGTTTGTAAATACCCCTAAAAATAATCCGTTAAGCTGAAAAACAAATGTTTGTTTTGCAAACTAGACAGCTGGTAGAGTGACATTAGTAGCAATTGCAACATTCTAAATGAAAAAACCACATAAAATAATTGCTAAATCATTATGTTAAACATCTCTAAGCTCCAAAGAATTTGTCATCACAGACTAGAATTCCAGGAAAGAAGCAACAGGACACTATTTTTATTATCACTCCTGTCTACCTCTGCAGACAGGGAAGACACTGCCCTGTGTAAGAAACACACGAGAAAGTAACACATATCTGTGGCATAATTGCGAACAAGCAGCTAAGGCTGTGAAGACATCATTTCTTTCTACCATTATACCTCATCCCCAGAATTAATAGCCATTAAGGAGCTTAGGTGAAAATAAGGTACTACATGGCAGACCTTTAGGGAATGGAGAGACGGGTGCTTACCATGAACTTCCATTCTGATCCAGTGCACAAGAAATAATCATAATGGGTTAAAGGCGGCCACTGCCTGGGGCAAGCCAGGAACATGTGACCAAGGTGTTTACCTTAGTCCTGGCTCCTAAGACTCCTCCAAGCCAGTTCTTACTAACCAAGCATTTAGCCAGGGCAATTACTGAGAAGCCATAATGCAGTGAGCCGAAACAGACAGCAGAAAAAGAAAAGGTGGGGAATTCCCTGATGGGTATTGGCATTCTCCAAAGTACCAGTATCAGTTGGGGTGGTCAGCCTTCCAGAGAAGGTGGTATGGATGCAAATTCATGCTAAGTACCCACCTGTGTATTTCCATCCAGTGCAAAAGAGACAGCCAACAAAGGATGGACAAAATTCGTGTTGGAAAAGGGCAGGGCCAGAGGCAGACTGATCTTACCATTGAAGTAATACCCATTATAAAACCAAACCCAGGACTGTTTTGCCAGACATATTATTGGTCCTTCCTGGAAGGCGTGATGCACGTGCAGTGTGACGGCTCTGTGTTGTCCTGCAGATCTCCCCTAAGGGGGCGTTAGTAAGCCACTGAAGCAGCCATGGCTCTGCTAGAACATGCTGCAACATGCGTGCAAATGCTAACCTCACAGGCCTCCAAAGTACATGCCCCAACGTACCTAGCACAAACTGCATGGGAAGCTTTCTGACCTAAGGCCACTGAAGAAGGGCAACAAATAAAGAATCAGAATATCTAAGTTCCGTAGTCTACTTAAACTGAATCATGATCGCCTTTCCAACATCCAATATGAGCCAGGCCTGCTCAAGGGGGTGAGCATAATTAGGGGGAAATGAAGGAAGAACCATTTCTTGAGTTCTGTGAAAAAGCGTGTCAGTTTTAAGGCTGAAGGCTGGATCCATCCAGAGCATGATGGAGTTCTTCCTGCACATACAGAGGTGGTTCCTCACAGAGACAGCCAATAATGCAGTCTCCTGGAAGAAGTTATAATTAGTGGAAATAAAATCTTCACCGAGAGGAAACATAGAGCTACACTTTATAGAGCTCAAAAGGAGGAGAAGTGAAATCAGAAAGGATTGTATACAGGACCATGCAGGAAACAATGTAGAATGGGGCAGGGGGAAAAGAGATGTTTCTCTAAGAAACTTTTTGAGGTGTAGGTGAACAATAATTGATTTATGGAAAGAACAAAGAGCTGTTTGCTCTGAGTAGCCAATGTAGTCTTGCCTGTAGGAAGAGGAGGACCTATTATAATTGTACTATTCTGTGATCAACGTGTTTCTTCCTGTCCCAGTCAATGAACACCTTGCAGCAGCCAATCTGGTACTCCTTCCAGATGCAGCCAATCGGGCTCTGGAAGCCCCACTGGGCCTTGCCTCACTAGGTTAGATGTTGATGGAGTAAATCACTGTCATGTGCAGTGACAGGATGCTGCGTTCTGCCCAGCAGAGGAAAGCCCCGTGCCGAGATCTGGATGTCACCCCTGATTGCTTATGTGGGCTACATGTTGTGTTGTCTGCTCTGATTAGGAAATGGAGAGGACCCATGTGCTAAACAAAGATTTGGATAGAAAGGTGGACTGCTTCTAACTCCCGCCAGTTAAGGTGGAGCTGTTTCGTTCCACCGAGGCTGCCATGCCCGCTGAATGGAGCAGGCTTCGCAGTAAGCCTTCCGTTCCTCCAGGCCGGCATCCGTGGTCACAGTGAGGCAGCTGGTTCCTGAATTGGTGTGCCATACGTTCTGCTGTGCTCTTCACTAAAGGAGAGATGTTCTGATTCATTGTGACCAAGTGGCAAAATAGATTCTGCATCATCTGTTTGTAAGTTATGCAAAACTGAATGGGGAAAAGCAGCCATTGTAGGGGTCTGAGATGAAAAATGGCCCATGGCATGATCCCTAAGCAGGCTATCATGAAAACCAGTGCATGAGCAAGGAACGTGAGCTCTATTAGGTATGCTTGAGGGAGAGACTTTGCTTCTTGGTGGATCTTGGATAACATGTCCCGAATCATAGATATTATTCTTTTGGAGATGTCCAATACTGCCCCCAGATGAATGAGTAATTGGGAGGGGTGGAGGGAGCTCTTTTGGAAGTTCATAAAGAACCTGTGGCCTTGGGTGATTGGTGCATGGGTCCTTGTCAGCAATGGTACCTTAGAAGATCATCCACAGAGGTACAGATACAAGTCATTCTGCTAGAATTAGCTTGGAAAAACTCTTGGTGCTGATGCTAGACCAAAGGGCAGTGCTCTGTATTGAAAATGGTGTTCTTTGTACAAAAAACAAAGCAATCACTGGTGCTGTGCAATGATGGGAACGTGAAGGTACATTTCTGCATGGACTATGGAGGAGAGAACCCCCCCCCCCTTGTGGTACATGAACTACAGGAACCTTAAGTTTGTCCATTACAACATCTGTAGAAAGAAGCCATTTTTTAAAGCTATGGAGGACCTTCTTGCATTACATTCAGCTTTAAACAATTATACAAAAGATGGAGAACTATAATATCTCATGGTCAGCTGACTTAAGCTGTGGAAATAGCACTTTCACTGCTGGTTGTTTCCTGAGGAGGATTAATGCCCAAGGAGGCCTACCTTTAGATACAACTAGAAGAAAATAATCAGTGTTAAATCATCTTACACTGGAAGGTTCCTCTACATGCCCAGGTTCTGGCCAATCCCCCTTTAACCATGGTGCTTCATCTTCAACAAGGGAAGGTCTGAGTCAGAAGTTGCTCAGAAGACGATCCCTTAGATTTATGATGTTTTCCCTGACAGTGCAATGAGGATCAGGAGAATTAGAGGCTGATTCAGCAGAATCTGTGGGCAACTTCATTTTATGAGAAGGCTTAGAATGTCTGCCTTTTTGTAATTTTTTCTTTGGTTGGGGGGAAGCAACAGAAGAAGTAGAATGGGAGGAAAAGGTTCTTTATGCCCTCTTCACTGATTAATGACCGACTGCACTGTTTTGACTAAGTACTGATCTGAGACTGGGTGGACAAACTGCTGTGTAGCTGAATTCCCTGACGAGAATGAGGGAGTGCCTGGGGGTTCCTCCACCTCCACTTTATAACCTGGAAAAGGCTGCTCTTGGAAAAAGCCATCTACATCATCATGAGAAAGTGAAACTGCTTGTTGGGAGGGAAAGACTGGGTGTGCTGAAGCCGGCTCCTGCTCCTGGAGCCCCAGAATTGCTTGTGCGCCCTCAAAAATGCCTCCAGATTGCTGCTGCCTAGCTTGACCTCACCTGAGGCAGGAACTATAGGGAGGGTGAGATACTTCGAGTCATCTAGTACCAGGCTCCACTTTGATCCTCCTGTTTGCCGAGCTGTGGGATAACCAGCCGTTGTGATGGTCAAGCTAAGGCACAGGTGTTGCCTATGCCAGAACAATAAGAAAGGCTCTGAGGCAAGCTCTTCATGATCAGAGCCATAAGCATTTGCTCTAAAGTGGGACATTTGGTAACCAACCACTGGCTTGATTCGTCATACCTTCTTTTCCTTTCTTTCATAAGGCTTGGCACTCTTCATGCTGGGTGGTGCCATCTTGTGGCAAAAAGTCAAAAGAGTTAGAAAAAAGGACAGCTATTTTTTTTCTTTTTTAAGAAAAAAGGCTAAACTAGGAAAGAGAGGAGAATGCACTGAAGTAAGTAAAACAAGAAGGGAAAGAGCAAAACTAAGGCCTGAAAATGGAGATCACTGAGGAGAGGTTTTCCAGGAATGACCAGGCAAGGGGAGCTACTGAGGACAGGACTGAGCCAAAAAGTCTAGTCACATGTTCCTTGCTTGTCCTGCACAGTGACATCATTTAACCCATGGCTCCTCAAACTATGGCCTGCGGGCTGGATCCGGCCCGTCATGCCCATTTATCCAGCCCGCCATAGGTTGCCACACGCACACCATGGTGAAGCGCCGGCTTGCTCGCAAGGAGATCGTTTTGGAGAGAAAAAAGTTTGAGGACCCCTGATTTAACCCATCATGGTTGTCTAGATGGGACTGAGCACTCAGAAACGACTGTCATGGGAATAACACCAGATTTGCTTGACTTTGTATGTATACAGAGCTTGCATGAAGACATCTGGGCCTCAGACACACATCTTAGCCACACTCCAGGCTGGATAAAAATCAATGATTAAAAAAATAATAAAATTGGAATTTTATAAAATAAATTCCTCTGAGGAAAAGTCTATTTAAAGATAGTTTTCTGTTTAAGATACATTATAGTCCAAAGGTTATTCATAATGAAATAAGGATTTGTTTTTAATTATATAGCATGAGGCTGTATAGTCATACAATGTTAAAATTTTTGATAAATGAATTATGTTAATCCATTCTCAGTGTCGTGCTTTTCCAGAGGTTTCTGTAAGATTATTGGGCATTTTCTCTATCTAGAAGGTATTATCACAGATGCACGGTTTTATATTTCTGAAAACTGTGGATTTGTGTCTGCAGAGATCCCCTTTTATAAAATGTTATAAAATATACAGAGTTGAGAAAAAGACCTTAATCTTATTGTTCCTTTGCAAATCTTCGTACACAGAATCAACCTCTTACCCCTTAAGTGCTGGGGTTCAAAGAAGATATTTGAGAATGAATAGATCTGCACAAGAACTTAAGTACGAGGAGGGAGAGGAAAGCAGTAAAATGAAAGTGAAACCTTTTGAGCAGACTACTCCACAAGTCTTTGGATCTTTTTGTGTATAGTCTGAGGTTTATCTTATTGTTCTTTCCCTATAATGACAGTAGACCCAGTTTGGAAATATTTTAGTGAAGTTTCTCTACCTATGGGCAAGGCATGTATGCATGCAAATTGTATAGAAAACCATGTTTTAAATCTAATCTTACTGACTAGTGATTTAAATTGTGATTTAAATCAAATCCTTCCTGCCACCCTCAGTCCACTTTCTGCAACTTATTGTATGTTGGACTACCTAACATCTTGGAACTGACTCACTGCCAAACAGCCACCAATAAAACAGAAGGTGGTGCCATGAACTGCGCCACCTGCATCCCTCGAACTAATCACACAATGCAAAATGATTCTCTGACCTTTTCAGCAATTGATGTCACTTGACACAATACACTCTTGTAAACATGATTTTCTGATGACAATTAACAAAATTCTTTGCCATAAATTAAAGTTCTCTGAGTAAATTTGGCATTAAACCTTCAATAAGCCAAAGGCAAGGACTCACCTAAGTTTACAGGTGATGCAGGCAGCTCTTATCAGAAATGCTTAAAACTTGCATTTTTCCTCAGCTATCCACCTGGAATGATTACCTTGCTAGACAAATAGTTCCATGAGCACTCATGACCCAGGTGGTAAATGTTCTTGTATTCAAAAATCACCAAGAATGACTTAGACAAAAAAACACAAATACGATGTACTTACTTTTGGCATTCTGCTGAGATTTTTAACTCTTTGGTTCTAGAAAGGAAGACTTTAATCAGCGCAGCAAGATTTCCTGTCCGAGGATTATTCTCCACTAGGAGGAAGAGTTGAACAGGTCCCATGAGATTTCAGTTTCTCCAACATGTACATGTAACATATTAACGCCTCAGAGTACTATATATACACCCATTTAGCCATAAGCCCAAGGAAACACAGTAGTTACTTCCAAACAAATGTGCTTAGACTCAAACTGCTGAGTCTTCCCCACCCCACTCCCAAAGACTCTCCCACTCCCCAAATCTCCTTGGCGGATACCCCAACCCTCCAGAGCAGATTCTGAAAGTGTGCAGAAAGCAACGGACAGGGATTTGGATCCCTCACCATGTTGCTGACAGACAATGCTCCACTGGCAGCTGGACTTAATTGGATACCACCATAATAACTACTGGCAAATCTTCTGCATCCAGGCCTCCTCTCTGTGACTACAAGGTTATTCCCTAAGGCGCTTTTGTTAACTTTAAACTCGGACGGAGCAGGCAACAGTACTTCTATTAGAAAACATTTTAATATCCTAATGAAAATTGCTTTAAGAAGGGCTTTCTCTTTAATGAGTATAATTCTTGGGTTTACACTCTATCATTTATTCTCTGAGTCTATTTATTTTATTCTCTGAGTCTATTTATTTTATTCTATTATTTAAAAATCAGTGTTCTTTGTTTGCATTACATATTCTGCAAGTTTCTTCACAAATATACAATAAGACTGCAAGATATGCAGCACAATCCTGTAATGCTTAGCCAAAACTCAGTCCTACCAAATTCAGTGGGCTTCTATTCTATTCTATTCATATTATATTTGAATATTCTATTCTATTCGTAGTCCTCAAACTACGGCCTGTGGGCTGCATCCAGCCCGCCATGCACATTTATCCGGCCCACCTCAGAGGTTTTGGACTTGCTCAGAGAAAACAATCTCTGAGAGAGCGAGCGAGCGAGCTGCCGCTTCGCTGGCCTGCACCCACCATGGCTGCCTCGCCCCGCGCTTGCCCACCACCACCTCGTCGGCCTGCGCCCACCACTGCCGCCTTTCAACTGGCCCCCTGTTGAAAGTTTGAGGACCCTTGTTCTACACTGTGGCCTCAAGGTTAAAGTACAATGGTAGCTTGGCTCACAAACTTAATCCATTCCACGACTCTGGTTGCGACCCAAATTGGTCACACGTCAAGTCAAATTTCCCCATAAGGGTCAATGTAAATAAGGTAACTATTTACTAGAAGCAAAGTGCAGCAGAAAAATTATTAAATTGGCTGTTTTGCTCTTTACTGCTGTTCTTTGGTGGTGGTATGTGTGAACATGTGCATAAATGAAATCTATTGACACAGCGTCCTACATTTTTGGATTGTCCCTGGAAGCATGGCTATGAAGACTGGCTTGATGGGGTCCTCCACTTCAAAACTGATCACTATGCCATTGCATACTAAATGTCGCAAGCATCATCTTATAAGAGGAATCCTCTCCTCTCTAACACACAGAAAGTGAGGATCATCTAAAAGAGTAAAATTTTACCCACTTCATTACATGCAAGTTTAAAAGATTCCACTGATGAATCAGTTAGAGCTCATGTGACTAATATTTCTTTAACCACCTAGCAGGTGATTCCCTTGGTACTTGGTTAGATGGAACTAGACGTGATGGGCACAAAGATGCCATTGAAAACAGCAGCTCTTTGTTGACATTTATTTATTTAAAAAAAATTATGCCGTCCCCATCGCAACAAAGCCTCGGGGAGGCTCACAACAAGAACAAAATATAACAAATTGTACAATAAAAATATTAAAACCCGGTGCATCTCCACTTAAAAGATTTAAAATCCTATAAATAACCAATACATTAACAATTAAAATAAGTTTTAAATAAAAAGGTCTTAGCCTGGTACGGAAAAACAAATAACGACGGTGCCAGGCGGACCTCTCTGGGGAGCGCATTCCATAGATGGGGTGCCACTGCAGAGAAGGCCCTCCTCTGGGTACTCGCCTTCCTAATATCATTCACAGAGGGTTCCTGGAGAAGGGCATCTGTTGCTGATCTCAAGGCGTGGGACACTTGCCACCTCCCCTTCAATAATGACAATGTCATGCTGGCATGGTCTCCCAGCACTCCTGGTAGTGGCTCATGATGTGAAACATGGGTAGGGAACTACACAGCATCACAATGTCACAGCATGGATTGGTGTGTTCTCAAGGGGAAGATTTTAATGTGGATTGGCCATTTTTAGAAGTAATCACATAGATCCCATACTGTCTGAATGCACCTTGACAAATGGCTTTAATGAAAGATTAGATAAATTACTGACAGTAGTTCTTTCAACAGCTTTCAACAATGCTGGTTAAACAGAACCTATGGGCTAATTTGACACAACAGGGCAACCCATTATGCAACACGCTATGCAGTGTGGGTTGTTTGAGAGAGACAATCAGGTTCATCACAGCTTATCTCCCTGCCTTCTTTCCCCATGGTCCTCCCATGCACATCCCAGGGGAATCTATGACACAACTTATCTTTCCTCTCTGCAGCAATCTAGAGCCCTCTGGCAGTCACCACTGCTTCATTTCGCTCTTTTCCAGAAATAATATTTCACAAGAGCCAAAGTGCTCAAGTGGCACACTGGAGCAGGTGCCAATAGTTCCCCACCTTTTTTGCACCCAAGATTTACACAGATTACTCCAGAATTTCTTTCTTTCTGTTTTTTAATCGGACGGTCAATAGTTCAGAGCTGTGCAAGTGACAGTGATGACCATTCCAAATGAGCAGCCTTGTTTTGCCAATAATCTGTCCCCACAGAGCCACCATTCATGGACATTTGCAAGCCAAGGCTACAAATAGGTTAATCTGTTGTTTTGCTTCCCAACGCTAGACATCAAATAACAAGTTACCAAGTGAAACGCAAAGCTATGGGGGCATCTTTGCTGGTGAAAGAAGGTGGTGCCACTGTTCCCAGTGAAATCCTCCAGTTTTGTTGGGATGAATCTGATTGACCTTTTCCACCCTTTGCTGACACTCTGGGTGCTCAGGAAGTTGGAAGAGTATGACCCATCCAATTTACAGATGTCAAAACTAAGCCTTCCTCTTAAGACAGGTTATTCAACAAGACTAATTAAGTTGTTTTTGACAGGGACATAAGCAGCCGTGAAATCTGGGGGGTTGGGGGGAATGAGTAAATGCAGACCACTGGATAGCTACCCATGTGGATAGCTACCCATGACAGGTTGACTTGTTCATGCAAACCCAGTCAGTTAGTATCTGTGAAACCATGTGGAATGACTTAAAAACAAATCAGAATGTTCAGAGGTAGCATGACCTGGCCTGATTCTACAAGGTGATTGTTATATTCATGTTTAAATTCATAACAGGTTTCCGGAAGGATCAAAATCCAGAATTTTAAAGTGTGAGCTAATGTAAATTCCAATTCCTTTTCATATTCCATCTCTGCTTTTACCTCCTACACATATTGTCCTTGGAATAAATACTTGTAAATCTTTTTTTAAAAGAAAAGAAAGATGAAAAACAACCTGTTCTACTACAACTTAATATAGCTGTGCCCAAGCCACTTCCTGTGACAGCATGCAAAATAAAGGAAAAACCTGTGAAAACTTTATGTTCAAACAGCACATGCGGGTACAATATGTCTACATCAAGCCTTGGGAGTAAAAAGTAGTTCTCAAAAGCACATGCATAGAGCACAGATGGAGAATATTAAATGCACCACAGATACAAAGATTTATACAGCTGTGCAATTTGCTAGTAAAGTTGATAATATGAAATACACAGAAATAAATGCCAACATCAAAATAGCCTCCTACCTAAAGACTTGCATACCGAGATGGCAGCTTCTTCCAAAAGCTTTAGCTCAGCACTGCAGACACAAGAGAAAAAAAAAGTTAGCACCAACACTGAACGTATGTGGAAGCTGCTCATTAATGACACGAGGCTTTTTTTTAAAAGAAAAGCAATTATATCTGTTATAATAGAAGCATGTCATTCTTATGAACTACAACATCATTTGTTTTATGAGCTACCGGAAGATAAGACAAATAAAAACAATGCCATGGCCAACCTAAGTTGATTTGCTTGGTTCTGGGCATCTACTACAGTCCCAAAAAATCTAGTAGCATCCTGCTGTCGACAGCAGCTAACCATGGGCAGCTGCTTAAATGGGCCAAATGCCTGGCTTGTCAAGAAGGCAGGCTAATACGGCAATCTCTGCCTTCCTTTTCCTTCAGTAATGAGGGTATTTCTGTTACCCTAGAGAAGTTCCGAACTCTTAATTCCCCCCACTAGATGTCCCGGAGGCAGAAGGTCCTGGCTGTGCCAGGCTGGCTTGCCCCCTTGCAGCAGACAAGAGAAGCATGTTACAGCTTAGAGCGCTATTAATCCGTTCATTTCCAAGACTTCTAGCCTCAGGAACCACTCCTACTTCCAGTTTTCTGCCTTGGAATCTCTGCTCCTTGGCAAAGGTTCAGGGGTATGCCACAGAGCACACCTGTCCTTCGCGGCAGACACGGGCCAAGCCTACTGGGGCCAACCTTGGCTCAGCTGACCCAAGAGTGAGGCCTGGAATGAAATCCTGCCGTACGTTGGCTACACTCTACAGGAAGGGATTGGTGCCAGCAGAGGGCAACTGGTTCTTTCGCTGAGGAAAGCCTGATAAATCAAGAGGAACTCCAGGAACACAGTCTGAAAGCTACTGGCAACAGGCAACCAACATTCACCTCACACCTTCAAGACGGCAGAACATCTTCACTCAATAAGTATTCGTAAGCATTTGCACAGAGCATTTAATAAGCAAATTAAAGGCCCAAATCTAATTTTAAGGTACAGCTGTATAAAAGTTTACCACTAGCTCATTCCAACCACATTACCCGGTTCAAACCTGTTTGCAACAAAGCCCTGCTGTTGAATTTTGAAGGTCTTAACAGTTTGGGGTCACATTACTTCGAATGCAGTTCTATGCGTGTTTGGACAGAAAAAGTCTTACAACTCCCAGCATCCCTCAGTCAGCCATAACTCCATCAGCAACACCAACTCTACCTGCAACACTGGATTCTGTCTTCAGCTCAAACAGGTTGCTACTAGTACAAGTACTAAGTGCCTGGCTGGGCAAAGCTGAGCTGTAGGCCATTCTTCTATCTAAATATTCACAGGATTATGCCCGTAAAGGATTGCCTACACCCACACAAAGAGCACTAAGATAAACAGTGCAAGACCTACTTACAAGCTTGAGAGGGAGGGCTGGAGGGCAAGAGAGAACACTTTTCCTGTGGATGCTCCACATTTCCAGATCTCCCTTTCTCAGGAGATTTGATCAACTCCTTCTCCTTCTCATCTTTTAGGTGGGCCATAAAAAGATTTTAGCAGCAGAATGCTTTCAAATGGAAAGGCAGATTATCATTGTATATATTCCTAGTCACCTTTTTTTTTTTTTAAGATCTTGGCTGGATGAAAGAGAAGGATATTGCTTGTTTTTTAATTTTTCTGCTTATCTTTACTGTAATAGTGTTATATTTTAATAAATTAATCTTTTTATTAATTTTATTATATACTCTTTGCTATCTTTGAAAAATAGCAAATTTTGAAAAACAGCTAATACATTTCTTTAAATAAATATAGTTTTCTCAAAAAAAAAAAAAAAACCTAGAAGGGAAAATGTAAGAGGGCATCCCTTATGAAGCAGAAACAATGTGGTAGGAAAAACTCATGTTGCCTCTTACACTGCCCTCCGTACATATACTTGTGCTCATTCTAACTACAACACTGGACCTTATTACAAACAGGTTGCTCCGAAGTAACAGGTTGGGACAACTGAAAGCATCCAACCATGAATGAACCATAAAGCATGAATGAATTCATGCTTGGATAGCCTGCACAGAAACATAACCAGATAAGGAGAGTAATTATTTCTTTCCCATTTCTCTGTACATCCATGGCTGAAGTCGGACATGGAACGAGGTCATCCTGCAACTATTGGTGTCAGCAGAAAAATGATGACTGCATTATCATCATCACCTCTCCCTTCCTTCACTTATTTGTTCATTTCTATGTAATTCAAGAGAGACCATGCTCAAATCCATCACTCTCTCACCTATCTGCAATTATCATCACCATTGATGGCATGAGTTCATTCATGCTGTAATATCCCAGTTTTCAGTCAAAAATAGCATTGAGGGCAGCTAACAGTAATAAAATACAGTTTCAAAACAAATTCTTAACTAAAGCATAATATAACGTTTATGTTAACACTAGTATCCCTATCATCCTGTAGAACCACGACCATCTGGAAGGCATCTGCATACATAAATGCCATGGTATGTGTGACTGAAAGCATGGTTCATTCTACCAAAAACTCTGTCTTGGTGTATTTAGTGTGTTCAGGGATGCGCAAGTTTGCTGTAAACTATTGACATCAACCAAAACGTCAGATCGAGGCACTGTGCAAAAGTGAAACATGGCAAAGCCTGCCCAAAGGCTTACAACAGAAGGGCCACAACGGGCCCTTCCTTAAGAGGAAAGCTACTAGTGAATAATTATTTTACTCTGGAAACAAGTAAAACATGTTCTGTTATAGGAAGCAAGAATTTAAAGGCCACTGCACAGACTACCAGAGCTCACCGTGGCTTTTAAAGATATGTTTGCACATTGTGAACAACCCAAACAAATGGCACAGCATTTTTTACATCCACCACTTAAAAATATCTGATGATACTAAACTTGAAAACACTACATAACACCTTAACTATGAAAAATGAACTTCTGAGCATAGTTCCAACGCACAGTTAGTCCTGGTAACCAAATATTATTTGTGGTTGTCAGGACTCAATCTTTCTCACTACTTCTGACCTTCCAAAACTATCACTTTGCGCCAGTTGAGCAGACAAACGGAAGCATCGAGAAACATTCTGCTCATTTAATGCTGGATGAATCCAAGAGTGCAGCTCAGCCTTGGATTGGGGCCTGTTGTTCACTGGCTTGCTACCAGGGTGTATATTCAAATGCAAAGAGAAACTCTCAGTCTTGGAAGTAGGAAGGTGGTTTCTCTTGTTCCAATCTTCTGCACCCCATAGAGGACTTGGGAGAGAGATGCATTCTGTTTTTTGTACCTGACACAAAATAAGAGACCACTTTTTACTACAGGTTATCTGCACAGAGAACTCAGAGGAGGAAAGAGATATACCTCATGTTCTGGAAGAGAATCAGAGTTGCCAAGAGCAACCTTTCTCCATTGATCCAAAAAGTCTTACATCCTGTTTCCCTCCTTTATGGGATTCATGGCCATTCTATATATTGCAGTTTCCCTTCACATATCTGGCAATTTTTAACTGATCCCTTGCAGTCTACAGGCTGGAGGCAGTAATTCCAGGAAAAAAAAATACCTGGCAAGGACAAGAGCTGTAAGAGCAGGAGGAAGCACAGTGCCAGGGATGAGTACACTTTGTTTTGAAAGCACAATCAAAATCTTGCACCAAGAAGAGTTGGGCTTGCAAACATTTGCTCACTTTGTGTAATTCAAACCATACCAAATGCTGAAGCTCCACCCACAGACATTGGAAATCCGGCTCAGCTCTCATCTGGCTTCTGAGATTCCACTAAGCATTGGCCACACATAGACTTAAGAGCTGGCTAGAAATTTGCCTCTGAAAAGGAAAGCCAAGCTTCTCAGGATGCTAAATTCCATGTTCAGATGCCAAATTCCACATTTCTACTGTGCAACTACAAATTACAAAAGCTGTAACACACCAGCTATGGACAATGCTAGGGAAAGCAGGGAAAGCCTGCAAGACAGTGAATCCTTTCCAATATAAAAAGATACTCTAAGATAGCATAATATGGTAGCAAGAATGGTAAGAAGCTGCCAGAACTTTAAAAGGAACAGATATGATTTGGCCTACAATTCCCATCATTCCTCATGACTGGCTATGCTGGCCAGGGCTGATGCAAACTGTGGGCCAAAATACCTGGGGGAAGGGATAAAAGTTGGCCACCCTGAGTTAATGGGAAGCACTGAGGCCAAGTAACAGGCTGACAGGTCATCCCAGAGAGCTAGGCAGGACAACAGCAGGGTTTCTTAGGGCCGTTTCTCATTCAATATTACATTTTATTGACAGAAGAAATCCTTCCTGGGGGAAAGTCCACTATGATCCCCATTCCCACCAATCATTAGTACATCCAGACTTTTTAGCCAAATTTATTTATTTCATTTTCATGCTATCCCACAGCCAGATGGCTCTCTTGGCAGTTTACACAGTTAAAAAAATTTGAACAATGGAACAAAAATGTACTTGTGTCTAGAAGCTGTGGACCATCACAGTGTCGAATACGTGACAAACCGCAAAGAAAAAGGTCACGCCATTTTCACACGATTCCAACTTGCTTAATGAAAATGTGTGAAACAGCCCTTAGCTTTATGGAAAATCGCTGGACTGAGTGCTTCACGGACTTTCTTGCCACAAGCAATATTGCTTGCCCTGAACAGCCATTCAGCTTTTCAGAGCTCGGAGCACGTGGAGACTGAGGGAATGGCGGTGCTGAGAAGCTCTGGCAATTCCCTTCTTCCCAAGATTAGGGCAGGCTGTTTGCCACCCACTTTGTGCAATCAAAACCACTGCAAAAGGTCAGAGTACATTTACAGAAGAAATCCACTTGAAAGCCGTCCTGAAGCTCAAGTATCTACTCATGCAATGATGTTTTTGTACATTCCCAGTCTGCCTACTCATAGGATAATTATATAGCATCCCCACATGTTCGCCAAAGGATTCCTCACTTGTAGAAGTACTAGTGTATGTTGAAGCCCAAACATCTCCAGGAAGTTAATATGGAAAGTTAACTAATTTCAGGGAGGTCTGCTTATCTCACTCATCA